AATGGATATTTACCAGTTATATTATCCTCAGACTTTCAGTGAGTTGATATCCAATCAACAGTGTCTTCGTTGCTATGGAACAAAAAATCCTCAAGTAATTATTTTAACAATTGCACATGCAGCACTTACCAAACGCCCATACAGGAAAATAGCTATAAACATAATTTTTTATTGCGTAAAACGTATCCTTTTTTTTTTTTTTTGACCACCAAAGAAAGTTAGTGCTCCCAGTGCAGACATATATCTTAGAAATCATGTGTAAACGTATGTGGGTCTCATCTCTGTTGGCCGAGATATCACACCACAGCGAGAATGCAAGCTTTGTTTAGTGGTAGTCAAGATACAGCTCATTGGAACCTGACTGAAATATATTTCCCTATGCTGAGATCTGGAATTGATTTCCTCTGCAGGAGCCCAAACTATGACCAGTAAAAGTGTCAAATGTATTAACACAAAGCCTTTCTTCATCCTTGGAAAATGGTGCTGATATGAAGGAAATGAAAGATTATTGGTTATTCTGTAAATACCGTTGCACACTGAGGAACCATACACAAGCAGTTCTAACTCTGAAATGACTGTATGAATACTTTAGTATTTTTTTAGGTTTAACATATAGCAGCAGAATACACATTATCTATTAAATACCAATGCAATTTTCACTTAACTTTTACCCCGGCACTAAATACTTTTCATGTCAGTCACCTATAAATCAAGGGGTTAGTGTCTACCCTGATTATTAAATGCTACCAACCCTTGACTTCCCCCATAAACTTTTTTAATAATAATCTTAATAAAAATGTATATTTTAAATATTATGATATATTAAACACAGCATGTGTTTGTGCGTGTGTATAAGCATAGGCATGTGCAGTGAGTGTGTTCAATTAGTAGAAGCGCCAACTAGAATAAATGCTTGTTTGTATCATGTCATAACTAATAATGTTGATCTATATATACGTGGAAATTGTGACCATAATATGAAATTATTTCTGATTAACTAAAACAAAACTAATTTATATGGGCTGTACAAAAATTATTATTTTTAAAAAGCTTAAATTCAAAAGGATAAGGCACCTTTAATAAATTGACAGGCAGGAATTATTTATTGGTAAAAGCACAGAGAATGAATAGAAGGTCTATAAACACATTTTACAAAAGTAAATTTCTCAATACATGTCATTGGGAAACAAATGTAAAAAATGCAATTTTTTTTAAGAGGCATCTTTTTTTGCTGTACCTCCAATAGCAGCAAAACAGTAAAGATAAAAAATAAAAAAAAATCAGAAAAAAACTGATTGTTTTGGCTGGGTGTTTTTTCCCTGGATTGGGTGTCGGTTACCCAAGCCTCTGTGGAACTGCGCAGGTTGAGTTACTTCTTGTCCGAGGAGGTTGACCTGCCATCAAAGGGTCATGTTAATGGACGAGTGGAAGGCAGATGCTTCCAGATCGAATTCTTCAAATGTAAGGTCTCGCTATGTTCATGAGTCAGTGCTGTGTGAGCCTCAGCCTACTGCTCTGGGGTCTGTTGTGCCTTCTCCTGTTTCCTTCAAGCCAAAATAATCCTTGATCAGTCATCCTATGTTTTATCCTCAAGCTCTCAGATACCCACATAGCAGAATTTGTCCATTTCTGGATTCTGAAACCTTTCGATAAAAAACATGAGAGCTGAATATCCATTACCTAATATCCCGTAAACGGCTGTGCAAATACCAACTGGAACCTACTACTACTAGCTGTTAAGAGAAAAATTTCAAGAATTAATTTTGAACAATATTTTCATTTAAAGGAATCAATATGGTTTTAAACTAACAACTGCTCTCTATGAAAAAGTACTTGAATTTTGATAAGGCATTTGATACAATTCCACACAAAAGACCACTATTACAACTGAAATCAGTTTGTTTAATTAAAAAATAGTTTTTCTTATAGAACACTGGCTTGAAGATGCAGAGAGTAGTTTTAAATTGAACAGGGTTCTATCCTTGGTCCACTTCTCTTTAAGCTGTTTATAAGATCTTGAAGTGGGCATTGAAAGTCATTTGTCCGTGTTTGTAGATGACACCAAACTAAGTAAAAGAATACAGTCTGACCATGATATAACTTCTCCACAGAGGGATTTGGATAAATTTGCAGACTGGGCAGGCAAGTGCCAGATGATATTCAATACAGATAAATGTAAAGTCATGCATTTTTGAATAAGAGACACAGAAGTCAATTATAAATTAAATTGGGTTGAGTTTGTCAAAATAGTCATGTCACCTATTGATAATAAAACAAAGTATATAAAACTCACATTTTTATGAGTTGCCCATAGCTCAATGTGTCAGGTATTAACAGTACAAACTGCTATGGAAAATTAGAATTAAAGCAGCACTTGCGGTATTATATTCCTGTTATATATGTACCTGCTAAAACAGTTCAATTCTAGTTAAAAAAACATACATTAACCTCTAAAAGAAAGTCGTTATGGGAAAGAAAAAAAAAAACACGTTCAAAGGCCAGAATGCAAAAAAGAGCCTTATAAAAACTCATTAAACTGTTCCACCAAAAAGTGGAGCCACCAATTAAAAATTATCTGACAGGCAAGTCTTATCTCTTGTGAGATTTGCCTAGAAATATTCCTGAAGCCAATGGTGGGGTGGGGGGGAGAGGGGTGCTGCTTTATTACCTATTCATCGCCCAAGTATTTTGCAGGTCCCATGGGATAGGGCCTGTAACAGATACTCTGCCAGATTGTCTTTGTTAGTTCGTCATATAGCCCTGTGTCCAGAGTGATTATAGACAATTTAGAAATTTCCTCACATATCAGCAGAGACTTGATGAATATTAAAACTGATGGTTTTAATACATGCCCACAGGGTTTTCATACATGCCTTTGTTTGTACAGTGAACACAAGTCAACAAATAACAGTAAGAACTTGTGAAATAAACCAACCAAACACAATTATAGCCAGTACCATGTTTACAGAAGTTGGCTTCGCTTCTCCTCTCCTCTCGTCCCACCACCTGTTCGCTTGATCCAGAACCTTCCTACCTTATCAGATCTCTCTCCCCTTGACTTGTACCATCCTTAACACACATCCTAAATTGCTCTCTTTCATCTGGTGTTGTCCCTGCTCCCCTTAAGCATGCTACTGACGTAGCCATCCTAAAAAAGCCATCCCTAGACTTCTAGCCATCATCAACCCCTTCCAACTATCGTCCGATATCACTGCTTCTTTTTTCCCTCAATACTTCTAAAAAGACTTGTCTTTACTTGTATGACTCACTTCCTAAATTCCAACTTCCTCCTCGATCCTCTTCAATCTGGCTTTCGCCCCCTCCACTCTACTGAGACTGCTCTTATTAAAGTTAAAAATGATCTTATCGCAGCTAAATCCAAAGATCACTACTCCATACTAATCCTTCTTGATCTCTCTGCTGCCTTCGACACTGTTGATCATGGCCTCCTTCTCCTAACTCTTCAATCTCTTGGTCTCTGTGGCACATCCCTCTCATGGTTCTTCTCCTATCTCTCCCAATGCTCCTTTAGTGTCTCTTTTTCCAACGACACCTCCTCTCCTTGTCCTGTCTGTGGCGAGCAGAACCTCGGGTATTTGGAGGGGCCTGCTTGCCAGGCTCCTGCCAAAAGACTATGGGCCTGGTCAGTGACTGTAAAGACCCATATTTTATTCCCCCTGGTTCTCCTGGTTCGGCACTTTCCATAGAACCGAACTCTAGCTCCCTGGCGGCCGTTCGCATGGACCAAAACCGTGAATAGACATCAGGGGGACTTAGCCGCAAATGCCCTGGAACTATTTTTGGCATGAAGACCTTGTGGTTCCCGGTCGGTCCCCCAGCAGCACTTAGCGGCGATTCTATGGAACTGTATTGGGCATGGGACCATGCGTGCGGTTGGCCAAAACTATGACTTCCAGGAAATTCCTGAACCCCTGAACTGATCTGGGTGATTTTTGGATATGTTGTTCACCCAGATCAGGGCTATCAGGGGATGTTGTGGGGGTTTTGTATGTTTTAAAGGTATTTTGGGTTTTTTATAAAAATGTGTGTTTTTGTGACTGGAGATAATTGAGTTAATACAGTACTTGACTAAATTATATCCAGGTACAGAGGAGGGATTGACCTAGTTATGTGTGGGAGTGTCCTGGATCTGAGAGTATTTGTTTCTGCTGTGGTTTACTCTCAGGTCCAGGGGGAGTGCCCCTTGCAAGGGGATTGTCATAAAAGGCTAAGTCAGTTCACTTCACCCTCAACACGCAGCCTTGTCTCGTGATTGTACCGAACAGCTATACCAGCTATACCAGCTATACCTGCTTCGGATTGCTATACTGGCTATAATCACTAGCTCTTATAAGAGCTACACAGCTATACCTGCTAGACTCTCTGGAGTAGGAGAGGTCCACGCACTGGAAGCTGGATCCTCATTGATTCCTGTATGCTGAAGACACTTAGATATATCTTTCCTCCCCTGACCTCTCCCCTGCTGTCCTACAACGTGTCACCAATTGCCTCTCTTCTATCCCTGATTGGATGTCCTCCCGCTTTCTGAAACTCAATCTCTCTAAGATTGGGCTTCTTATTTTTCCTCCTCAAAACTCTGATCCTCCTCCTTCACTCTCCCTGCAGGGTGACGATACCTGCCTCACCCCATTCTTTCAAGCTCGCTGTCTTGGTGTAATTTTTGATTCTGGACTTGCCTTCGCGCCTCATGTCTGGTCTGTTGATAAAATCTGTCGGAACAGCCTGCCTACCCCTGTCAGACTCTCCCCTAGTCTTTAATCCTTTAAGAAGTCCCTCAAAATTCATCTTTGCAGGATTGCTTATGGCCTCCAAGAGTAACTTCTATCTCTCAAACCTTCCTCTTGCTCTCTCCTAAAGGGCCACACTCCACTCTCACCTCCAGTTCTGCTACTTTCCCACCATGAATATTTGCTGTCTCCCTCAATACCCTTCCTATTGTGTTTTTATACCACACCTCCTCTAGATTGTAAACTCGTTTGAGCAGGGTCCTCAACTACCTATTGTTCCTGTTACATTTTGGTATTGACTCATTTGGTAAATTCTCCTCTTATTGTAAAGCGCTGCAGAATAAGCTGGCGCTATATAAATAATAACCAATAATAATAATAATACATGGAACTCAACACAGCATATTCAGTGAGAGGGCAGAGGATAGGCAGAAAAAAGGGGAGGACTGAGGACAAAATTATAGGAACACATACACTGCAACACATGCTGCTCCCCACACGATTACACCCACACTCTGCTACTTCTAAATTGTTGCCTGCACAGTTAAACACACTTACACAGATATACATGCACACAGACATGCATTAAAGTCTACACACTTCTACACACACACATATTATATGTGAACATTTTATTAGTCTGGAATAATTGGGGCATTTGAAAATTCAGTGAATAAAAAATTGATTTCTAGCTGTAGGATTTCTACATAAAAATGTTTAAGTGTATTTTTATATTTTATGTAATAAAAAGAGTATACTGTAAGTGTATTTCTATATTTTCTATACCATGTATAAGTACCTACTACACTTTATTGTGTCTCCTGCTCTTTTACATGCACTGCGCACCATCTGGATCAGAAGACACTCACAATGTCCTGCGACCCTCTTTCTTCATCTTACATTTGAGAATTCAGTGCCTAAAGGCGCTTATGATGCAAATCTGGTCTTGTGCAGGAAAAAAAAATAGCGGACTACTGCCTGTCCTCTCCAAACTCTCTTTGTATAATTCCTATGGATCATATTACGTTCCTCCTGGGCCACAGGTAAAAATGCTATGCTATGTTGGTGGGGGAAAGAGCAGTATCATCACCAGATTCATCACCATCACTACCAGCACTAAGACCAAGCATTGAGGATACTACTTTGGTACTCTTCTCTGTTTCTTCAGTAAAGGTTGTGTTTGATGGCATCCATAAAATTACTCGCCTGAGCTCTGCCTTAGTTGCTTCTTGCAGGAGTAGGGCTACAAACATTTCGGGGTAACACTTGGAAAGACAGCAAGTTCAATGGTTTCACTGATCCCTTGCTTTAACGCAGAAGATATAACTCCTGAACTTGCTGTGGTAGAAGGTTCTGCAGTGGAAGCAGCATCAGAAGTTGTTGTGGAACTGTTGCCTATCTGCAACTACAGATTTCCCTGCTACTTCACACTTAAGACTTTGAGTAGCCAATTGCAGCATAAAGAGATTGAAAAAAAAACATCCACCTCCTGGATGGTGAATCGGGAGTAACAGACATGCTAGTCTTACTATCCTGAGGTGTAACAGTACTAGTAGTGGTGGTACGTTTGGTTGTGGCAGCGGTAATGGTGTTGGCAGCGGAGTAGGAGTTGTCATCAGTCCTTATGGCAGAGGGAGAGATGCTAAGACTCTAAAACACCATGACACTGCTGCTGCAGGTGAATTTGGGTGCACAACTCCTACCCTTCTTTAATATCTTCTTTGGGTTAGGGCATAATATTGATTACGGTGTTTTTCTTTTCTTTTTATTAAAATAATGTGGGATATGAATGTGTATTGTGTAAATGAATACAACTTTATTCAGCATAAATAGATGTTGAAAAATGATGATGTCAACAGTGAAAGGGCAGTTTATTTGTGAAAAATGCAAAAAAGAAAAATGAACACTAACTTTGGCCAGAAATTGTGACAGAAAAAGTGGGGACCTTTAAACATTAAGTTCATTTGAGCAGGATCCTCATCAACCTGTTGATCCTGTAAAATTTTGTATTGGTTTTATATGTTGTAAAATATCCCCTTTTTATAATATTGTAAAGCACTGGGGAATAAGTTGGCACTATATAAATGCCAATAATAATACTAAAAAACCTGGAGATTCCCCATTTTGAATACCCTGGGTTATCTACTTCTACAAATTCCAAGATGAGGTAAGTCTCATCCATGGGCTGCCATATGGTCTCAAATGTAACATAGGCCCAGCAAACCAATCTGTCAAAATTTAAAAGTGTAAAAACTGAAATGGACAAGCCTTATATTTGACCATCTAACTTTCCAAAACACCATGAGCACTGTACAAGAGAGGCATCTTCGTACTCATGGAGCATCACAGCATACAACTATGTGTGTTTTATTTCAATAAAAGCTCACAGTATTATGACATTCACACTTTTTAAGATTTTATTCATATTCAATTATGTTTCATATGTAAATATTTATGTAAAATGAAAGCCCTGTTTCTGTGATTAAAATGATGCATACGTGTGGATGCACTTAATATGAAAAAGATAAATTATGATTGAACAGAGATATAGCTCAAATTCTAGTTTTGTTTTCCCTTTGGCCAGAACTTGTACAAATGCCTCGGTCCTTAAGATGTTAATGTTATCTAAAAGCTGTATTTTAAAAAGAAATATACAATAATATAATAATTAGCAACAAAAATGGCATCAGCATATTAATAAATTGATTACTGGTAAATGTCACCATATATTCTTCTTGATAAAATGTGTGCATCCAACTGACCATACAATACATCTACTTAAATATTTAGAAATGCATGTCATGATTAATGTGAATATATTATTTATATGTGAATATAGAGTTAGAATGTATAAAACTACATGGAGGTGGATATTTTGATATTTAAAATCAATATTCATTATGTAGTTATAAGTCAGAATAACTGGCTACATACCGCGGTCGCAGGAGTCGCAGCTGTACGCCAGTATGCCAGCCTCTTCTTCAGCTGGCCACCTCAGGGCAGTTGTCAGTTGGCGGGCGGGCGAGGGAGCATTCTCCCCTGAGTGCTCTCTGCCCAGCTCCCTCGCGCACACCGCACTGATGCCGGAGCCGAAATATGACATCATTCCGGTTCCGGCATCAGTTACCGGGGCAGAGAGCACTCAGGGGAGAATGTTCCCTCGCACACCCGCAGTGACCGGCCACCCAGCAGCACCACTGGACCCCAGGGAATCCCTTCAGCACTCCCAAAGGTAGGGAGTGTCAGTGTGTGTGTGTTACTGTGTGTGTGTGTGTGTGTGTGTGTGTCTGTTACTGAGTGTGTTAGTTATGTGTTTGTGTATGTCTGCTAGTGTGTCAGTGAGTGTGTTAGTTTTTGTGTGTGTTACTGTGTGTGTCAGTTTGTGTGTTAGTTTGTGTGTGTCTGTTATTGAGTGTGTGTCTGCGGATCAATTTTCGCACCGGGGCCACATGGATCGTGTGTAAGCCACTGGTTAGAATAGATGCCTTAATAAGTAAGACCAGTAGATTAAGCTACATCCACCCTACTTTTGGAACAGTCTTTTCAGACTATTGTAAGGTACTTTAGAATGGAAAGCTTCATCAGGTTATTATTGGAATGTTTTGCTCCCTTTCAAAATTTTACTGTTGTCAGACTCTGGAGAACTTTTGTGCCATCTGGACTCTGAGTCTGCACAAACAGGATGTTGAAAGACTCCTTAATCTACCACCCAAATGACACTTTGTTTCCCTTTTTTCAGTGGCAGGATAGAAAGCAGAACCTTTGCTCTGAGTCATGGTTTCATCAGTCTGGTTTACTGGGGTTTGAAAAATGTTCTTTCGGGCAATGTACATCTGGGCCTCAGTGATGGGAAAAGAAAATAATCTGAAAGATAATAAAACTTATTTTAACCTCTCAAACACCAGAATATCTTGAACGCTAATAGCTATAATGTTAGAATGTCAGAGATCAGTTTAAACATGTGCTTGTTTAAAGAATTTCAGCTAGACATCAGCGTAAACAATGAATAGCATTGTATCTACAATAAAAATAGAAATACTCTAATGTAGCTTGAATTTCAAAACATCTTACATTTATTATGTTGGATTCTGTGTTAAAAGAAAAGAGAAATTTTTTTTTTGCCAAGTAACGGAAGGAGCTAAAATGAGGGGGGAATGGTAGTAAAAAGGCAAAGCAAATATAGGAAGAAAGTGGAAAGGATAAGAGAAGAAAATGATGGTCGTATTAAATATTTAATGTCACACCGACATGGTTATTCACTAAAATGAGAATTACAAGTGAATTCAAAGTTAATTGCAAATTTACAGTAAAAATAGTCAAAATGAAAACATTTTCTAATGCCTCCATTTCTGCTACTTTGGCTTTAAAGGTGAAATTCACTTTGAATTAACCTCAAATTCTCACTCTAGTAAATAACCCTGCTTAGGTAAAACCACACATATGGCACTGGTTGACTGGATGTACTATAGAACGATTAGGGCTGATCTCAACTTCTGAAGTAGGTAGGATTATTTTATTTTGGAGCCCAAAATGGGCAGAGAGTGAGCAATGATAAAACATTAATTTGTCTGCTAAGAGTTTATGGTGTTGACCTAGCAGTTAATTGCCAAACATGATGGCTCCTGGTAAACCTGACAAGATTAATTGCGTATGCAATAGAGACATCCAAGGGAGCCCCACAAGGTCAGACCTGTTTTTAACAAAAAAATATTTTGACTTATTTTAAGTTTAACCAGAAATAATTATTCCAAGTCAAAACATATCATATCTGGACCATATCTTACCATGGTTTGGATAGCTGGGTGAATGCATGGTAAGACTACATATGATAAATATTTTCATGTGTTGGGGGTAGAGTAGCTGTATCAACACTAGTACTCCCAAAACATTTAGGTAATATCTACCTGCTGTAATATCCAGATAAATCTGAGAATCCTGTGTGTCTCATCAAACCTACATGGCTGTATCTAATCTGTATTGCTGTATTGATGTTGCATTTTCTTCTGTGTACAGAAACTGTCTCTGTGGTAAATCAGTTCTATAGATGCTATAATAACTCTGTATAAACAAATATTACATAATTTAATGACGACAGTTCCCATAAAAGTGTTTATTGTCAGGCACACATTATTAATATTACTAAACTGCTATATGTTATATAAAGCGATATGTACAGATAAAAGTGCTATTTCCAATGACATCACTCCTCAGAAAAGTGTAGAATGTGAGAGGATAATATCAGAGACATTACCCCACAGGAGAGCATAATGAGAGAGGGAGAAACTGAGCCAAAAACATGAGTGAGACCTGAAGTATGCAAAGAAGTTAATGAGTAAGCTAAAATGTCTACCATTTATTTCTTTGCTGTCAGTAAATCATGGTCAAGAAGGAAATGAATCCTGAAGGCCCTGAGTGGAGAATTATTTCCTGTAGCATTGGATTTGGAGCTGAGGCCCAGACACAGATTGACGGTGCTTGGCTGAAAGTTTGCAGCTGCTGTTTCTCTCCACAGCTGTTTATGTCCTTCCACAGTATATTTTTCTCTGTCCTCCTGGCAATG